CCAACCAAGAGCAGTAGCATTACCACACCCTTGTCCTAGTACAGTCCATCGAAGATTCGATTGATTGATTGATTGATTGGCGAGACTTGTGTGTCACAACTCAACTCAGAATTGTCTCTTATTTTATTGCAAGAGATATACAACTGAAAAACTCGATCAGGAGGACCAGCAAGAGTCGAGTACGGTAGACGAAGAAGATTGAATATTCTACGAGACTAGCAGCTTTCGAGTTTTTGATTGATTTTCCTAGAGAGATGAGTGAACCTAGCAGCGGCACAAGCGGAGGGAGCGATGACAAAGACTTCATTGATGATTTTGGCAATGAAACTGGAACCAAGTACGTCTTTACTGGAGGCTTCCTGGGCAGCGACGAAGAAGATGATGACGGCTTCGTAGCCCCCGGGACTTTGGCAGAAGCAGTTGCCCCCGGTGATGCTGAAGGGAACACACCTTTTGATCACCGTGGACAAAGCAAACTATTCACGACCGAGAAAGCCAAGAGGATTGCTGAAAGCACATTGGAACGTGAGAAGTGGAGTAGCTTGGTCGAGGAATTCGATGAAAAGGGTCAAGTTGCTGCTGGTGATACTGGTACAGGAGGAACCAAACCTGTTGATCGCCGCCGCCAATTCCACCAACTCTTCGTGACGGAGGAGAAAGGGAAGAGGATTGCGAAAGCACTACGGAGCGTGAAAAAGAGAGCAGCCTCGTCGAGGAGGAATTTGTCGTCGAGGAATTCGATGAAGAGGTTCAAGTTCCTGGTGGTGATACAGGAGGAAATATACCTGTTGATCGCCGTGACCAATTCCACCAATTCTTCACGACGGAGGAAGCGAAGAGGATTGTGGAAAGCACATTCGAACGTGAGAAGAGGAGCAGCTTGGTCAAGGAGGAATTTGATGAAGAGGGTCAAGTTGCTGCTGGCGATGCTGGGGGAAATATTCCCGTTGATCGTCGTGGCCAATTCCACCAGTTCTTCGTGACGGAGAAAAAAGCCAAAAGAATTACCGAAAACGCAACGGAGCGTGAAAAGAGGAGCAGCCTCGTCGAGGAGGAATTCGATGAAGAGGGTCAAGTTTCTGCTGGTGATGCTGGAGGCACAGACCTTGATGAGTTGGAGATTGAAGTTGAGAACATTCTTGGTGAGGCAGCCAAAGCGAATCCGCAGAAAGTTAGATTTGGTTGTGCGGAGGCGGAAGCAAGTGAAAACTCATCTCTCTCTTTTTTTTCTCAAACAGAATCTCAAAATAATAGTCTCACAATAAAACTTATAGGGTAAGCTCACGCTTTTGTCTTGCTTCGTCGCTAAGGGTATTTCAGCTCTGGTCTGAACTGAACAAAGCCTAAAAGATCTCTGTTCAAATACCGTACCGTAATATCAAGCAAAAGCTGAGCGTTGTGGTGATTGTGGCTCTTGTCCGGTTGTTGCGGCTGCTGCATGGGGGTCGGTGGGTGGCGCTGGTCCGACCAGCGCAAGGCGGTGGTTGGTGGCGGCGGTGTGGCTCCTCGCTGGATCCGGAGGTAGGGCGTGGCTTCAATGCCAGATCGTACACAAGAATTTTGAGAATTAAGTGATGCAAGCGACTTTAACTAAAATAATAGCCAAGAATTCTTTGACTGTTTGGTACTAGTACGGAATGAACGGCTTTGAGCTTCGCCACCCTATATTTTAACACCTCTAGAGTATTTTTAAAATTTACAAGTAAGTGTCGGTTTTCTGTACTAATTGTATGGGTACTATTCATCGCTGAGATACGGTATCATCCCACCTAATACTAAAAGATAGCATGCATAAGTGTAAGATGTGAAAGCAGGGAAGAAAAATAAATGTCAATGGAAATCTTGGGCAAGAAGGCATTAGGGCATTATTGAACAGCACGCGTGTCAACTGGCATCGGAAGCACATCGTTTAGACGCCAAATACGTCAGTTTAGGCGTTGAACTTGGGAGACCAGAAGTTCTCTGGTTCCCATTGGTTGACTGGAAGACACCTTTTACAGTAAACATCATGAAGGTACGGTAGATGCGGTAAGACAAAAACGTTTTACTGTACATGTAGATAACCACTGGGAAATACCCGGTACAGTACGACGAATACGAATTCAACTGGCTCGTCACTCGTCACTCGACTGAGCACTAAAGTGGAATAATTCGACTCGACTGAGGCGCGGTCCTAACCAGCGATTCTTACCTCTTTATTCCTCCCTTCGTTCGCGAAATCAATTTAACTGTTAAAATCGGCTTGCTTTCACTCCATTTCCACGAAAGCTGCGGTACGGCGAACCATTGATTTCCCATTCTCAATTCGCCGTACCGCAGCTTTCGTGGAAATGGATTCGCCTAGGACCAATCAGAACGTTAGAGCCAGCCGAACTCAATCACGGTCACAAATCCCCAACTCTAACGAAAATCGAAAAGTGAGATCTCGCACACGTAATAGTTTTTACTATACAAAATCACAGTACTTCACCGAGTTAACGGGACTCACTTTGATGGTTCTTTCGCGTACCGCGTATGTGTGTCACATGGATAGGAATGAAATCTTGATTCGTACGCCTAAATAAATCGACGAAAATAAATGTGTTTCGCGAATGCACAGAGGACACACATGGAGAATGGATAGGACCTCGCCTGAGGACTAAAATCTTCGAATGATTGAATACATACATGTAGTCTAATGAATCAAATCGAATCTTCAATCATTTATTTGATGACAGGTCCGAAAATAATACCATACCACCTTTGGAAATCCATTCTTTGGATGACCTATTGGATTACCACTTGTAGTTAAGTCGTTGAAGGGACCTACCTGTAGCAGCCTCCAGTACCTGTACCTGGTAGCCCAAATCGCTCTGTTTTGCTCAGTCTTCTCCTCAGAAAGGTGTTTGGGCTGCTCGAGTAGCCTAAACCCGCTGCTTTGTGTTTGGGCTACTCGAGTAGCCCAAATCGGCCACGCTTGGGACTTTCATGGTACTAGTACTTGCACAATTGGGCTATTGTGGCTTGTGGCTCTATGCCACCATTCAAAAAACGTCACCTCTATGTGGGCTACTTTCGTAGCCGAACCTCCAAAAATCAGTTTAGGCTGCTTACGTAACAGTAGCCCATATATTTCGGCTACTCCAGTAGCTCAAATATTGAGATGCTCGAGTAGCCCAAACAATCAGAGATGTTGAGCTACTCAAGTAGCCAAATGTAATAGCTCGTTGGGCTACTTGAGTAGTCTAGATTTTCGGCTACTTGAGTAGTCGGGTTATTCTCTGCAGCTTTAGGCTACCGATACTACTTGAGTAGCCCCATGCCACGCCCTTTTAAAAGTAAGCTCTCTCAGCAGGAAGCATATTGGCTTACTTAACTGACAAGTGGTATGGTATCCAATGGGTCATCCAAAGAATGGATTTCCATAGGTGGTGCTCTTGTAGGTACCGCATTGACAGCCCACACCCCGTCCTCAGTTTGTACAGGGCGGTACCGTACACTTGTTTGTAGGTACAGTCGTACATGCGCTGTTTGTTCGACAGCGTCCAGCTGATTTGATAGCTACCTGGCTGCTATCTAGCTAGTAGCTATTAGTATGATTGTTGGTTTCTGGGATTGTTGGTTTCTGGGTGGCACTGGCATGGAAACAGGGCGCTTTCTTCTTCATGGATCATGAAGAATATAAAGAACAAGAAGGATCAAAAGAACCAGTTGGTTTGAGGCACCCCCTTGGAAGTCTCCAAAGCTACCGGTAAGCTGACATGTGGAATTTTCGGTACAGATGTTTGGGGTTGTGTTTCGGTTGTCTGTGAGCAAAGCAGTTAGTGGCGTCCTCAAATTCATCCTTCCAAACATGGCTCGACCTCATTACCAGGTATCTGGTAGCTACCGTAGACTGTAGCTAGTTGGAACGAGGGGACTCACTGCTGTTCGGTGGCTCTCTTGTTGTGTTCGTGGAGACAGACTAGAGTACGGACACGATCGTGAACGCGCTGCGGGTGTACGGAAAGTGGCTGGGACAGTTCCACCAGCAACGGTCGGATGCGGTAGATTAGTACGAGGAGGAAGTACGATGTCAGCGACCTACGTGCATTCGATACGGTGGTCATGAATTGAATTTGTTTTTTCCTTACTAGTAATGTCAATGGAGTATCTACTGCTACCAGGTACCGTTGCAAAGACGAAAAAGCATTTACATAGGATGGCATTCGTTTTCTGGCTGCTTTTCGTTCCGTACCTTTCAATGATCCCACTCGCTCTTGGTCCACCCGAAAACTGCCATGGCTTGCTTTTGCTCGTCCTTCAAGTCGTCCCAGTGACTGTGCTCCAAATCGTGAGGCCAATGATGCCATGTGTGGTCGTCGGTGATTCCTACGGCGGCAGCAGCCTTCTTCTGGAGTTCTGGGAGATCTCCATAGGCTGTTTCTTGGTATTGTTTTTCCCAGGCTTCCTTCTCCCAGCCTAAGGCCTCAACAGCCTTGCGTTCGTCCTCGGTCAGGGCGTGCCAATGCTTGTGTCCAATAGGAAGAAGACTCGAGCTGTCCCAGGACTCTTGCTCGTATCCCAGCTCCTTTGCGGCCTTGCGGACCTTGAGGGGGAGATCCTTCCACATCGTGAGCTCGTATTTCATTTCCTTATCCGTGAATTTGCCCTTCTTCTTCTTGTTGGGCTTGTTTTGAGGTTTTTGTTGCGGATTCGGCTTGACTTCTTCTGCCTGCTCTTCGTCATTGTTCTTGCCAAACGGCAAATGGCTCATCAACGTGCTGACAAGCTCGTTCGTGCCGCAGCAGGTTCCAATAATTTTGTTGATTGCCACCATTCTTGTCTTTCTTACCTTTGCTTCTAAAAGTTGTGTGTCGAAAAGATTAATCGCAGCGAAGCTTTGACAAGAAATATGATGGACAGTCCAGCAGTCGCTCTCTAACAAGAAAGCCTCAAAGATATGCCGCCAGTTTGATAAATGAAACGGTACTGGCAAGAACTCGAGCTTCCCTGGCTCACCAAAAATTTGGATTCGTGAGTGGAAATCAGAGCTTCCGCTAAAAATAGATGCATTGTGTTTGCGTTGTGGAGGCGTTGGGCTCTTGCCTGTGGGCTGCGCTGCGCGCTTTTGCTTGCATCTATGCCAAAGTTTCAAGGTTGTCTTCCGTCGTTCATTGATTTTAAAAGTTCCGTTTCTCGGCTTGGCTTGATCACCTACTTCCTGCTATGTGTCTACTGGCTACCGGTAGCTAGATACCATGATACCGGTAGCTCCCAGCTAGCTAGCCAGTACCGATATGGAGACGAGCAATACATGCTTCCAGCCTCTACCTGGTACGGTAGCTCTAGTTACTAGTACCGCAGCTGCACGATAGGAGTTGTTTGCGTGGATGTGCCCCTCTTTTACGAAAATGACCTGTGGTAGCGATTTATGACTATCCAGTTACCAGATTACTAGAAATCAACCACAACCACAACAACCAAGTAGTAACACACACAACACTATAGCAACCTCTTTATCAACACCATCATCAGCCTTTTTCGGCTTATCAGGCGTGGAAGCTACTACCCAACGATCGGTCGTTCGACAAGCACAAGCACAAGAGGAAGATCGCAGCGCCATTGTCGCTACCGAAGCAACGCGTTCGTTCGTCCGAACGCCATTGTCGAAGCTACCGTTCGTTCGAAGCTACCGTTCGAAGCTATCGTTCGAACGCCAGCGCCATTGTCGTTACGTTGTCGCGAGTGCTGAAGAACCGCGATCGCTGCGAGCGACAAGAAGAAGAAGAAGAAGGAGTTTGTTAACCGTTCGTTCATTCGAAGCAGCGCCATTGTCGCCGATTCGAAGCTACTGTTCGAACAGACGGTCACGAAGCGACGGTCATATCCCATTGTCGTTCGCTTGTCGTGATCGAGAAGAGCGAAGAAGAAGAGAAGACCTCCAAGCGGCATAGCAACAGAAGACCTCTCAAGAAGGAGGGGCTCTCTCAAGTGGAGCGAGAGATAGAGACTTCCAAGTGGGAAGCAGAGGTTTGGACTTGGAATATTGATCCCTCCAGTCTGGATCAATTCCTGCCTCATTGTCACCAAAGAAATCGATTGAGCCAAAGGAGAGGGGACGCCTGATCCAAGAGTTCTGGCCTAGACTGTCACAGACTGGGTGTGCAGAGCTCATTCCGTGGAATACAGCCTTACTTGTCTGGGTGTGTACAGTTTGCTGTTGGAATAGGAGCAGAGAAGAAGACCCAACAACTGTTGCTCATCCAAGTGATACCGCAAGAGAAGAAGTAATTGGAGGCGAATATGGCAGGCAATCTTGCAGCCATGAACAACTATCTACAGAATACCATCGGTATTCCCGAATTAGCCACGAGGACAGCATTGAATGATCAAGGATTGGATGCCTTCGTCTCACTCGATACCTTTACCGATGCTGATATCAAGAGCATCTGCGAGAACGTGAGGAAACCAGGTGGTACCATTACCATTCCAAATCCAGCCATTGGGCTGCAGCCACTGATGAGCTGCCGCAGCAGTTCAGCCAGAGAAGTTCCCAACCGTGGGACGACAGCTGGGATTTGTCTTTGAGAAGCGACTCAGACAACTACGTTCTACAAGTTTCACATGACACGAATCCAGCGTGGTTCACTCCCAACCAAGCCAGTTTGGCGATTGAATAGAGTTTGGGCTTTATACGAGTCCGAAAGAGAAGAGATCGATGTTGCGGATCCTCCCCAACTCTTGAAGGTCGAAGATGTTCGACGAGTTCTGGAGTCTATTGACAATGTTCTGAATGTCAAGGAGGCGTTTGCGGTGCCCCTCTGGCTTATGTTACGAGATCCAAAGTCACTTTGCCAGGAGCACCTGATACCGACACCGCAGATGAGGCTGACCAGGTTTTGGCCTTCCATCGCATTCTGAAGAATTGGTCCGAAGAACAAGACATGCCGGACCTCATTTCGTACAAGCAATCAGGCTGTTTGGGCATCATTCGGTCGGTTACTCACGGTGGACCTGGTGGACATGGGTCCAACGTTGCGCCGCGCAACAAAACGGTCGAGCAGCTTACTTGGCCATGAAGGTTCACTATCTTGGTGATTCGTTCCAGGCTCGTACCAAGGCATTCGCGGATAGAGCCATTGAAACTACTTTCTTTGATGGAAGTCCCGCAACTTCACTTTGAGCGCTACTGTGAAAGGCTTACCAAGGCCTTCACTGATCTGGAAACCGCTGGTGAAACCTTTACTGAGAGCCGCAAGATTCGCAAGCTTCTGTCCGGCATTACAGACCCAAACCTCAAAACCGCCAAGTCCGTCATTCAAGCAACCCCGCATCTACGCGAGAGTTTCCAGGAGGCTATGAATTACTTAGCCGAGCAACTTGATGTCGCTGAACCCACTCGACCCAAAGAAATATTTCATTGTGCTGGCCGTGGTCGAGGTGGTAGCGGAAGAGGACGAGGACGTGGGGTGGTAGATCCCAAGGCCGAGGCTATGGAAGAGGCCGGGGCAGGGGACGAGGCCGTGTGAGGCCATGAAGGCCGGGTTTTGACCCCAATAACCCAGGAAGTATTACCATCCCGATGAGTGGGTCAGCTCACATCGGCGCAGCAGAAACAGGCTAGGGAAGCCCGCGATGGTGACAAGGGAAGATTGCCGAGCTGCAGACACAGTTGACGATACCCAGTCCCAAGTCTCGGAATTGCAAGCCGAGAAACGATCCCGGACTGATGTTCCTGGCGATCTAGCGTGGGCAATGCATGAATAGGCGAGCATGAGTCTCTGCTGTTCCACTCTGCGATCCGTTGCTACTCATTTGCCATCATCTCGGATGACTTGACAGCCATGCCGATACATGTCCTTTGGGGAAAGTGCTTACGTGGTACATACACGGGAGAGACTATATCGTCGAAGGGTTTTCAACTGATCTTGGAACCATACACAAAGTACCAATTGTAACTGTGGCTGTGGCTTATGACGACCCACTCACATCTCAAATTTATATATTATTCTTCCATCAATCTTTCTTATCACAGTCATTACAGAACAATTTCATTTGTCCAGCTCAGCTGCGACATCACCAGTTAGTTGTCAACGATGTGCCACTGTTGCACCTACCGTTTGAAGACAGAACCAATGAATCCCACTCCATCAATTTGTGGTGACCTACGAATCCCACTCCAACTAGACGGTGTTATCTCATACTTCCAGATTCGGAAGCCCACTGCCCATGAAGTCAATTCTCCAGATCACTTCGTTCACGTTCACATGACATCCGAATCTCCTTGGAACCCTCAAGATCCCCAGTCGGCTGACCTCGAGTCCTCTCTCAGAGACGCTTTGGATTCGGACATGCCAAGTGAAAGGGGACGGAATAGGAGAATTCAGTCGATCAGGTCAATTCTGGAATCAAGATCATCCGTTGCATTGACGTCAACAGTCTTGGGCCAGCCCTTCAAGCCCAGATCTCTGCTACCAGACGAAACCCCCTACCAGGAAGGGAGCCGTGTCAGCGGAACACTTGCCAAGCAGTGGAATATTGGGTTGGAAGCAGCAAAGAAAACCATCGCGAACAAAACTCAGCGAGCGGTTCGTGATTTCCACCACGCGAGTGGAGGACGGAGGATGAAGCATTGGCGTATCAACTCAGATATCCTCGGATCAACGTCGAAATGTATACCGACACTGTTTACGGCAAGGTCACTTCCCTCCTGGGAAACAAGTGTTGCCCAGGTCTACTGCACTCCGTTTAATTGGTGCCATGTTGACCCATGAAGACCAAGTCGGAGGCATCACTTGACCTTAGATTCACTTTTCCAGAGATTGGAATACCAAGAGTCATGATCCCAGACAACGCGAATGAGCTTACCATGGGAGAGTTTCGACGAAAGCACAACGAGTTCAGTGCCCTATCCATCCAGTTGAGGCTTACACACCCAACCAGAACTTCGCGGAAGACCTAATCCGAGAGCTGAAGAGAACTTACAGAAGAACAATGCGACTACTGACAGCTTGGAATGCCTTGGGACATGTGTTTCGTCTTCTGCGGCCTGCTCGCAGTCATACCGCATTACCGATCCGAGAGTTGGATGTTCAAGTTCCCGCTACTCTTCTTGACAGGGGACACTGCTGACATCTCACATATCTGTGAGTTTTGGTGGTATGATGGGTTTGGTACCTTTCTCCTGAGAGACAGGTCAGTCAATGGAAAGGAAGCGCCATTGGTGCGCTACTGTGGCCCCAGCACTGACATTGGGGACACTATGTGTTGCCCGTATCCTCACGAGAAGGGCCAGTTGGTCTATAGGACATCTGTCATCCCCTTATCAGACCTAGGAGAAGCTGCGCCCGGTGATTGAATCCAAGAAGGCAGCAATTCACAGAATCCCTAGAAGTCCTTGGCAAGCGTTATGTTTTGGCCAGCAAAAATTCGTGTGATGCTGAAATCTCGTTCAGGAATGAAGAGATACAGGTATTATGAGCCAATTTGATAATCGTGACACAGCTCCTCTGCCAGAATTTGTCGAGAAGCAGAAATGAGATGCAACTGAAGGCCTTCGAATAAGTACATTGCAACTCTGTGGTTTGTGTCCCCACAGGGAGACCATATCTTATGGCACAGTCACACGCCAGAGACTCCAAAGATGGAACTGATTGGTCTCTCGATTCTAACCCATTGCTTGATACTTCCCTTTATGAGGTGGTGTTTTACAGTGGCGAGACCGAGGCCTACTCGGCCAACATCTATTGCAGAGTCTATCTATGCTCAGGGGGATGATGACGGCTACACTTTGTTTGAATTGGCGGATATCCTGACCATGCGAAGGATGGACACGCTGTTTCAGGGTACGACGCCTACATCTATCGAATGGCAGGAAGACTTTGTCGACGGACCACCAAAGGTTGGAACTTTTGTGCAGTGGAAGGATGGGAACCACCTCATGGCAGTCCCTAAGGACATGAAAGATGGTTACACTGATTCATACGGCTATCGAGTGATAGCAGGAACAGTAGCTCTGTGAGGTCCAGAGCCGGCTGCTGATATTGCATTGGGTGGCCACAGGAATCCATCTAC